CCAGCAGGAGGAAAAGGCTTTTGCTTTAGCTTTAAGTTGTCAGGCTTTTGTCTCAGGTGAGGAGGGTGAGGAGGAATACAGCAGCCATGTTGGAAGTTCACCATCTCTATTCCCTAGCTATGGCACCTCTCCCTATCTGTCTGCCTACCAGGTGTTCTGCTAGCTCCTAGTCCCTCATTCCCCTTTCTTAGAGGTGACCCTAACTGCTGTTAGTGGTTTTAGGCACAGACTCCTAACTGCTTCTGAGCTGGCAAAAGGGACAATGTAGAAGAGGTCTTCAAATGCCTCAGAAAAGGGTCCATGATAAAATTTACCTGATAGCAAAGATCCAGAACATAAGAAAGCTCTATGATGCTAACATACATGCTTGGCGTGTGATATGTGCATGAAATAGCATCTATAACATACAAAAAGTAAGACTGTTAGTACCATCTAATTCCTAGAAAAACATTTGGGGCAGTTTTACCCCTATTAGAGGAAGAGAACAGACAATGAAACCATCCAAAGAAACCTTGGCAGTCTTTGTCATAGGCATTTGCAGGATGGTGATTTTTTTTTGTCACCACTGTGCACTACAAGATGTAAAGCATGGAGTAGACAATTGGTTTGGAATAAGAGCTCAAGATACTTTTTTCCATCATTTAAAAAATTATTTTACATACCAAGCATAGTTTCCCTTCTTTCTTCTACTCCTGCTCCTTCCCCCCTCTCCTGCCCACCCATCCACTCCTCTGTTTCCTCTTAGATGGGGTAAGACCTCCCATGGGAATCAACAAAGCATGGCACATCAAGCTGAGGGAGGACCAAGCTCCCCACCTGCTGCATCAAGGCTGAACAAGGCATCCCACCATAGGGAATAGGCTCCAAAGAGCCAGCTCATGAATCAGGGACAGGCCCTGGTCCCACTGCTAGGGGTCCCATAAAAGACCAAGCCACACAACTGTCACACACATGCATAGGGCCTAGGCTGGTCCCATGCTGGCTCCCTAACTGTTGGTCCAGAAATTAAAGGCATGAGTCACCACTCGGCCTTTTTTGTTTTTAAATAGGATTTCCCAGCAATGCCCAGGGATACCACGTGGATATCACCAAAGATTTCCCAAAGCTGTGAGTTTGACACCAGGGTATCTGGAGCCCCCTTTAATCAGGGAACATGGGTGTTTAGGATGCAGAAGGACACATTACAGCTGTGAGAAATGCTTTTCCAGAAAGTGATAGTGTTCTTTGTTCCATTGTTAGTAAATACAGGCTTTTTTGTTCCTTTGTTTTCTTTTAGATATGGTCTCCATATTGAAGAAGCTAGGCCTGCTTTTCTCAGCTGCAGATAGATACTAGACACGATAGTGCTGAAGTGAGCCAAGGTCTTGTCCTATATTTGGACTATATATATGAGAATCATTAGTGAGTAGTTCGAATAACAGTTCATCTAGTTAAGTAATGTCTAAGGGCTCCAGTCCTTTGAACTATTAAAGAAACATACTGATCATTTTAATCCTGGTTATACTTTCTTGATTGGTGTTTAAGACCATGCAGGTGGTCAAAATTAGTCACTTTCTCTTTATTGTTGAGACCATGTCTTCTCTTTAGCTGGCCTGGATCTCACCATGCAGACCAGGCTGGCCTCAAAGTTTCAGGGATCCTCTTGCCTCTGCCTCTCAAGTGCTGGGTGTCAGCTACCACACCTGTCTTAAGATTTTCATTCCAGATTGCTCTCAGAATGCTTCCCTATATGAGGATGGAATGATGCTGGGTGTGGCGTTACATATCTGTAATCCCGCTTGGGAGGTGGTGGCAGGAGGATCATGAATTCAGACCAGCTTCAGCTATATAGCAAGTTTGAGGTTAGCCTGGGTTATGTGAGATCCTGTCCCCCCAAACAAAACAAAAAACCAGAGTGACTTGCTGACTTGTATTAATAACATGGTTGTGTTGTTTAATTACATGACAACTGGTTACAGATATTCAGGGATATCAGAAATAATCTTGAGATCCTCATGTGTTTTTCCAACTTCCCAAATCTGTCTCTGGTATTTCTACATTTTAGACACTTTTCTGTGCATTGAGGATAAAATGGTCGACGAGATACATGCAGTGTCTGTCCTTGTGGACTTTACAATCTAATGGGATTGTAGTCATTAGGAAAACACAGTTGTCCCTTGGTATCCATGAGGAACTGATTGCAGGCCTCTTTGCAAACACCAAAATCTATACATGCTCAAGGCTCTTTTATAAAAATGGATGACATATGCATATATATTTTGCATGTCCTATTACCTACTTTTTTGTTATTTTAGTTAGTATATAAAACAATAAATTTAATTATGACATCTTCATATATATATACAATCATACTTTGCTCATATCTTCCCCCATTGGCCTGTTTTACCTTCTTTCTCCCTTTCTCTTCACTCCCTCCTCTGTCTGAATAGTTCCTCTTCTGTTTTTATGTCCTATAAACCAAGATTTTACATATGAAGCATTGCATACATTGTTTATATTTAAATCATTTCAAAATGACTTGTAACAGTCAACCTAATGTAAATACCATACAAATAGCTGTTGTACTGTACTGCTTAGGGCGAAAGATCTATACATGAGCAGTATCAATGCATTTCTTCAAATTTCTAATCTGTGGTTGGATGAACTTGTGGATGCAGAAACTGCAGACATAGAAAGCTGACTCGATAATGTTGTGTAAGGCTTATGAATACTATGGAGAAAAATAAACCAGAATAAGGGGGATAGAATATGCTGTGTATATTGTGGGGAAGTGGTGGCACAAGCCTTTAATCCCAGCACTTGGAAAGCAGAGGCAGGCGGATCTCTGTGAGTTTGAGGCCAGTCTGGTATATCGAGTGAGTTCCAGGATAGCCAAGGCTACACAGAGAAACCTTGTCTCAAAAAACAAACAAACAACAAAACAAAAGAATATGCTATGTGTACTATTTTAACTGGGGTATTTGAAAGCTGGAATATATTGAATGAACAGATCACCAAATTTTCACCTCCATGTATATTTTGTTTTTACTAAATCTAGTCCATTTTGCCTATTTAAGAGCTTGCAAATTGTACCCCTTTTGTTTAGCCTTGTATCCCAACCACCTTGGGCTGTATTTCTTTATCTGTGACTTATATATCCAGCCTGCTTTTCATAGCAGCTGGTGTGGACAGGTTCTAACATCCAGATGTGACAGAATCTGTCCTATGCTCAGAATTCTGTAATTCCCTATTGCCTATAAGATAGATACTAAGCTTCTGTGGCTGGAATTTAAAGTCTGTTTTGACCTGGTGTCTCTAACTTTCTGCCTTATTTCTCACTTCTTGTCACTTCTGCCTTAACCTTGGAGGGCATTCAACTATGTACTGTCTTTACTTAAGAATTACAAAAACAAATGTTATCATTTCTCACCACATGCTTAACTATTTCTTTGGCCAAAGCCCGGTCCCTTTTCACCTGGATCACTGCAGTGACCTTACTATCTTTTGTGTTTTCTACCCATCAAATTCTACTCTGGATCAAAAAGTTAAACCTGGAACCAAATACTTTCTTCCTTCTCAAAATACTTTTGAGAATCCCAACTCATTCAGTTAAAAAGTTGCAGTCCTCACACAGACAACAAACTTCTGCTTGGTTTGGTCTCTACTGCCTCATTGACCTCTTTTTCTATTCTCATCCTTGCTCTGGAAATACGCCAAATCCACTCCCACCTCCTTCCTTTTTTCCCAATTAGAGTAGTTAACTCAGATTGCTGTGCTCCTTGAGATAATTAACATGTAATTTCACATATTACAGAATGTGATCTGTAATAATACTATGCTGAAGGAATTGTAATGATGATTTTATGAATCTAGACATCTCTTTGGATAAGGCTGGCATCTTAAGAATAGTAAGTTTGAGCCTGGAGCAATGGCTCACAGGTTAAGAGCACTGACTGGGTCAATTTGTAACATCCATATGGCAGCTCAGAATTTTCTATATCTCTAATTCCAGTGTATCCGACACCCTCACAAGACATACATGTGGGAAAAACACAAACACACATAAAATAAATTATTAAAAATAATAAGTTTTCCAGGCAGTGATGTCATATGCCTTTAATTCCAGCACTTAGGAGACAGAGGCAGGTGAATCTCTGTGAATTTGAGGCCAGCCTGGTCTACAGAGCAAGTTCCAGGATAGCCAGGGTTGCACAGAGAAACCTTGTCTCAAACAATAACAGCAGCAACAACAACATTAGCAACAACAAAAAGAATAGTAAGTTTTCTGGGTGTGCTGTCACATGCCTGTAATCCCAGCATTTAAGACATTGGGGCAGAAGGATTGCTCTGAGTTCATAGTGAACACCAGATAAGCCATGGCTTCATAACAAGACCTTGTCTCAAAACTAAGAAAGAAACACCTAAAAGAACATAAAATCTTCCTCAACATAGGATGTTATTTTATTTCTTTCAGCAATTCTTTGTAGGTTTTTTCCATATCCTTGATTAAATTCATTTCTGAGTATTTTCTTCTTTTTATTGTATTAGTGTTTTGCCTGCATGCATAAGTGTGTACAGTATGAATGCCTAGTGCCCACATTGGTCAGAAGAGGCATCAGATCCTCTGGAACTGAAGTTACAGTTGGTTGTGGGCTGCCATGTGGGTTCTGGGAATCAAATCTGGGTCCTCTGGAAGAGCAGCCAGTGCTTGTTAACTGCTGAGCCTTTTCTCCAGCCCCAACTATTTTATCCTTTAGATGTGGATGTGCATGACATTGTTTTCTTAAATTTCATCCATTATAGGCATAGAGAAACAACAGACGTGTGTGTGTGTGTGTGTGTGTGTGTGTGTGTGTGTGTGTGTGTGTGCGCGCGCGCGTATTGGAACTTAGTAACTTCACTGGTTTTGTTTGTTCACTCCAATAGCTTTCTTAAGAATTCTTTGTGTTTTTCTATATAGAAAATAATATCATTTATAAATAGGAATAATTTACTTCCTCCTTTCTTCTTTTGTTTCCTAGGGCTGTAAGACCAAAAAGCCACAGGATAGGGATCTTGAAGAGTAGAAATTGATTTTCTCACAATTCTGAAGGTGGAAACCCAAGATCATGGTTCCAGAGAGATCATCTCTTCTGAAGTTTCTGTTTTTCAACATCTTCATCCTATATCTTGTTGTATAGTCTTGCCTCTCTGTGTAGCTGTATTATCTTCTATGATAAGGATATCAGTCTACTAGATAGAAGCAACTAAGACGGTCTTGGTTCATATTTTCAGAGATTTCAGTCCATCGTGAGGGAGCTATGGTGGAGTTCATGTTTGGCCAGAATGGATGGCTATGGCTCCATATATGACACCCAGAAGGAGGCTCTGCTGGAAGAAGTAAGTTACTAATATGATTTCTGGTTCCCGGCTGCATTTTCTGCTTTGCTATTCTAGATGCCATTCCTTCCCTGGGATGGACTGGAATTTCTGAAACTATGAGTAGAAACAAACCTCTCCTCTCTTAAATTGCTCCTTTCCAGGTATTTTGTCACAGCAATGAGAAAAGCAGCTAAATCTGGAGAACTTGGTACTGGGAGTCCCTTGCTGTGATTGAGCCTGATCACGTGATGCACGTGTTTTGACACTTGTTGGCAAGAGGATGTGGAAGAGTTTGGAGCTGTGGGCTAGAGAAGCCCCAGAGAGCATAAACAGAGATTAACAGGCCATCTTGGTTGGGAGGACGAAAGACCAGAATGCTTATACAAATGCTGATAGCAAACATTGTGCTATGAGGATTCAGATGGGAATGAGGAGTTTACCAGGAACTTGATCGACCCAAGACCATTTAGGTTACACTCTGGCAAAGAATTTGGCTACTTTCTGCCTATGCTCTCAAAACTGGTGTGAAGTTGAATTAACTGAATGCATATGCCACACAGCCATACATGAGTGGAAACACATACATCAAACTAAAAAACAAATGCAATATCAAAAACAAAATTTTCAAAAAGTAATGAACTGATTAATACATTTGGTAGAGGGAATTTTACCACATCCTACCCTTCAAGTGGAGGCGTCATTATTGCTGGACGTACTTAGTCAGCTTTACAGTGAGAAAAGGCAGGGATTATTTTGCCTCATGGTTTCAGATGTTTCCGTCCATTTTAGCAAAAAAGGCATGGGACACAGAAGAAACAGACAGCACAGATAGAACCAGAGCTGTATAGAACCTTCAAGGCCTGTTCCTAGTGACCCACTTCTGCCAGGGTGGCCCCATGTCCCGAAGCTGAGAACCACGTGTTCAAACATTTGAGTCTGTGGGGCATTCAAACCATAACACTCCATCCTTGTGTGGCTAAGGAGCACTTAAAATTAGTTCAACTTCTTTAGCCATCAGAGAAATGCAGATTAAAATTACTTTGAGGTTCCATTTCACATAGTCAGAATGGCCATCATCAGAAATACAAATGACAGCAAATGCTGACAGGGGTGTGGGGAAGGGAAAGCCTTGTACATTGTTTGTGAGAGTCTAAGCAGGTGGAGCCCCTTGGATTTCCATAGGACTAGCTATACCTCTCCTGGTATATAGTCAAAGGATGCTTCATTCTAGCACAGAGACGCATCCATCTTCATTGCCGCTCTATTCACAATTCCTAGGAAATGAACTTAATCTTCATGTATAAAATTTGCAAGGAAATGTATGAAATAAAATGCTATATTGAATGAGGTAACCCAGACTCATATAGACAAATGCCACATGTTCTCTTATACATGTAAATACTACTTTTGAGTTGTTAGTTGTTTGTATTTAACTCAAAGTATGGGTAGAAGCCAAAAAACTAGAAAGGGGCTTTAGGAGGGGTGCACTAAGTGGGAGTGATACTGGCAACTAGGTAAAATGAGATAAGAGAGGGAAAATACTGGGAAAGAAACGTTTGAATAGCAAAGGGATGAAGGGATGTGGAAGCAGGGAGGGTTAACCAAAACAAACCGTTTATGAAAAAGCCATTGGAAACCTACTATTATTTATTTATTTATTTATTTATTTATTTATTTATTTATTTATTTAATTATTGGTTTGTTTTTCGAGACAGGGTTTCTCTGTGTGGCTTTGGAGCCTATCCTGGAACTTGCTCTGTAGACCAGGCTGGACAGAGATCTGCCTGCCTCTGCCTCCTGAGTGCTGGGATGAAAGGCATGCGCCACCACTCCCTGGCTGAAACCTACTGTTTTACAACTCAAGATCGTGAAGGGGCAATCTACAGAGACAGCTGAACCAAACTCGTGGGAACACATGAACTCTAGCCTTGGAATCCCCCCGGAACGGAACTAGCCCTCTGCATGTGTGAGACAATTGTATAGTTGGGTCTATCTGAGGGGCCCCTGACAGCATGACCAGTATCTATGCCTGGTACTGAGCTAGCTTGTTGGAGCCCATGGCATATGGTGGGATGCCATGCTCAGTCTTAATGCAGGGGAGTGGCTTGGTCCTGCCTCAATTTAATGGGCCAGGCTTTGTGGACTCCCAATGGGAGCCGTTATCCTGTGAGAGGAGTGGATGGGGGCTGGGTCGGAGAAAGCCGAGGGGGGACAGGAGAGCTGTGGGAGGGAGAACTGTGGTTGGAATGCAAAATGAAATAAAAGAAACTTAAAAGAAGAATGATAAGAAAATATACACTTGGACAAGATAGCAGACACATGTTTTGTAAATGAAAATGGAAGAATACTGGGGGGAGGGTTAACGATTTACATGAGGATGGGGAAGGAAGGATGGGGAGAGGAGAAAGCAGGGGTGATTTAACCAAGACTAAGCATGGAAGGATGCTGGGGCGGGGCGGGGGGTGGAGACGATTTACATGAGGATGGGGAAGGAAGGATGGGGAGAGGAGAAAGCAGGGGTGATTTAACCAAGACTAAGCATGTATGAAAAAGCATTGTGGAGAGTCTGGAGAGATGGTTAAGAGCAAACTGGCTGTTCTGCCAAAGGGTGCCTGTTTCATTCCCATGACACATTTGATGGCTAACAACCACCTGTAACTCAAGTTCTGGGGATCAGACACCCTCTTCTGGCTTCTGTGAGCACATGGTGCACAGATAGGCATTCATACAAAATCCCCATACACATAAAATAAGAATTAAAAATAAAAGGAGAAAAAGCCTTATGAAAACGCATTAGTTTTCAAACTAATTAAAAAAAATTAAATGTAATTAAAGAGGGTAGTGAGACAGCTCAGTGGGCAAACGTGCCTGCCACCAAGAATCATGTATGACCTGAGCTTGATGCCTGGAACTTACACAGTAGAAGAAGAGAACTAACTCCAGCCACTTGTTCTCTGACTGCCGCACATGTATGTATGCACATATGTATGTATGTATGTGTTTTCACACAAGCACACAAGCACACACACACACACACACACACACACATACACACACACATGCATAATGTATACAAAACAAATAAAATGTCATTTAGATTATTAAAACACATCATTAAAATCATTCATACAGGGGCACTGTTCATGGAAGGACAGTGATGTTCCCAGAACACATAGGCCATTAAATGAAAATCCCAGTGCCAGGCATGTGATATCTCCCAATGAGTTCTTGTTCAGGGAGACCTCAGAGGCCATTCCCCAAACAACTTAGGCTATTGCCATTGCTCTTTGTCACCCACCATTGCAAGATGGTAAGACCCTATTGCTGAAGACACTACACTTATTTGTTTTAAGACATAGAAAACTCAATTGTAAACTGACCAGGCAGCTTCCTCCCTGTTGTCTAGCTTTTATAATGCCAGAAGGTGCTATGCAGGCAGCCAGGGGAGAAAACATATCAATGTCCTTAATCAGGGCTGGACCCCACATACTACAATACCCATATTTCATGCAAGATGTGGCCACTGGTGAAATTGTAACATGACTGTTGTGCTAATGCCCAAATTGGTGATCCAATGCATTTTTTTAAAAATCTGGGTTACAAACAGGAGTATTGTGGGGGTTACATACAAGGAGCAGGGATAACTCAAAAGCAGCTGCATCACCAGAAAGCCCACCCCAACATGGGTGAGGACTCCCCAAAACAACAACGCTAGGGCTCTCTGTGCAGTTTGCATGCAGCTCCATGTTTTTAAAAATAATTTATTTATTTTTATTTGATGTACATTGGTGTTTTGCCTGCATGTATGTCTGTGTGACAGTGTTGGATCTCCTGGAACTGGAGTTACAGACAGTCATGAGCTGCCATGTGGGTGCTGGGAATTGAACCTGGGTCCTCTGGAAGGGCAGCTGGTGCTCTTAACAGCTGAGCCACCTCTCCAGCCCCAAGCTCCATGTTTTTTTATTTGTTCGCCTGCATATGTGACCTTTTGTTTGCCTCCTGAGGCTCCTGAGCCTCAACTTCCCTACTGTAATACATGATTCAATTTGGAAGGAACGTTGACATTTGAGGAACATGCCATACAACAGGCTACTTGGGGGATAACCCACCACTTTCAGGTTGAATTTGAGGCCTGCTCTACAGAAGGGAATAAATGTGCAGTCCTGTACACCAGGCCAAAAGCCCATGGCTGGGCAGGACATAGGACCTAGGATGGAGCCTATTATTAGTATTTTGCTAAAGGGTCATGTTGTCAAATTGTCTTCTAATGCTTATATTTATATCCATAGATTTGTGCTGCTCTCAACCTTGGGCAGAGAAGCTTGGTTTTGCAGTGGGCAGTGGTTAATTGAGATATTCAGAACTGGTTAAAATGATGATAGTGACTTGCGTGATTAGCTCTGACTGGATCTCTCTCTCTCTCTCTCTCTCTCTCTCTCTCTCTCTCTCTCTTGAGAGTTTCTTTATGTAGTCCTGCCTATCCTGAAGCTCTCTATGTAAACCAGGCTGCTCTAGAACTCACAGAGATCCAGCTGCCTCTGCCTCTGGGATAATAGGCATGCACCACTACTGCCCTCCTCCTTTCCCGGCCCCTCCTCCAGCTTAATTTCTTTTAAAAGAAATGTATTTATTTTACGTGTATGGATGTTTTGCCTGCATATATGTCTGTGCACCAGTGCATGCCTGGTGCTCAAGGAGTCCAGAAGAGGGTGTTGGATCCTCTGGCATGGGAGGGACAGAGCGTTATGAGCTGCATGTAGGCGACAGACAGCGAATCTGGGTCCAGTGGAAGAGCTGCCAGTGCTCTTAAACGCAGAGCCATCTCTCCAGCTCCTCAATATGTTTCAACTCCCTCCCTGAGGCTCAGGGAACATTGTGGAAGCAGGGATGGAATGAACACAAGAGCCAGAGGATGGGAGGAGAGCAAAAATGCTGTCTTCTGAATATGACATGGCTCTTGCACTCACGAACTCACAGGAGCTGTGGTAACCTGTACAAGACCTGCCCCAAATCAGGCAACTCCAGCAGGGTTGAAATGGGGTCATGAAGCTGCCGAGCTATTGGTGGTTGGTGGCTGCTGGAAGATATAAAGTCGTTTTTCTTTGGAAACGTGGTTACAGGTAGGTTGCCCATACTTCTGTGGATAGCTTACACCCATGCACATACACGCAGCACTAATCTGACTCAATGGGTTCTTTATAAAATAATGAAATAAAAATAAAAAGAATAGGACCTGAAGTAAGGTGGGGGATGTGTTTGGAGATCTTGGGGAAGTTGGAGAGGGAGAGAAAGGTGTGGGTATATATGCATATATGACATTCTCAAAGAATAAATTGTTAAAAATATACCTCCCCCAGTAAACCTGAATGTACAATAGTAATTACCATAAGTTACAAAGAGCTAGGGGCTGGAGAGAGGGCTCAGCGGTTAAGAGTACAGGCTGCTCTTCCAGAGGACCCAGGTTCAATTCCCAGCACCCATGTGGCAGCTCACAACTGTCTGTAATTCCAGTTCCAGAGGATCCAACAGACATACCTGCAGGCAAAATACCAATGCACATAAGAAAATAAATAAATCATAAATAGTTTTAAAAAGTTACAAAGAGCTATAGGATGGAGAGTGGATAAAGGCAATGTGGGATAATAGGGTCCCAGACCTTAGCATCACTAACTCCATGATGGAAGTGCTGTTCAGGCTGTAAAACTTAGTGTGTAGACCTGTCAAAACTAAAACCAAGGCCTAGTCTTATATCAAAGTCATAGTTCTGAGACAGTCTCTAAAAGTACTAACCTTGCTTTTGGCTTCTGTAGTTCTGCTTCTTGTTAACTGAAGTATGCCAACCCAGGATGTATTTTTTTCTTTTTTCTTTTTTTCTGTGCTTAAACTCTCACCCTGAGGAAGGCTTGGGCTACACTGGGAGGGCATTGGATCCCCTTAAAGAAGTTTGTGAGCCATCATGTGGTTGCTGGGAATTGAACTCAGGACCTCTAAAAGAGCAGTCAGTGCTCTGAACTGCTGAGCCACCTCTTCAGCCCCTCTTGTATTTTTCTTTAAAAAACTAGTTCTTTGAGAATTTCAAACCACAAGTTTTGACCGTATTCAACCCTCCCCCAACTCCTTTCAGACCCCCCTTTTTCTACCCACCCAACTTTGTGTCCTCTTTTTTTTCTTCACCCACCAAGTCCAATTTGTCCTGCTCATATATCCATGTCTGTGTCACCATCCACTGGAGTCTGGTCAACGGACCAGTAGCTATACTCTTTTAGGAAAACTGACTCCTCCTCTCCCAGTAGCGGTCAATTGTCAATAGTTCCTTGGCTAGGGGTGAGACTGAATGTTCACCTCTCCTCTCCATGCTAAGATTTGCTCTGGTTTGAGCTGGCACCAGGCTTGTGCATGCTGTCATAACTGCTGTGAGTTCTTTTTTTATTTTATTTTTTTAAAAAACAATCCTTTTTACTTTATTTTTTAATTTGAATTAGAAACAAGATTGTTTTACATGTCAATCCCAGTTACCACTCCCTTCCCTCCTCCCCTACCCCCCCCCAACTAAAAACCTACCTATCACATATCCTTTCTGCTCCCCAGGGGAGGATGAGGCCTTCCATAGGGGGTCATCAGAGTCTATCATTTCCTTTGGAATAGGGCCTAGGCTGCTGAGAGTTCTTGTGTGCAGTTGCCCTGTAGTGTCTGGAGGCTACTGTTTC